CACACACACACACACACACACACACAATCTACTAAGGGTAAATTATTTCATTTGCCCTGAAGACATCTTCATTTCACACTAGACTGGAAAGAAGTTCTTCAAATTGTTTATCTTAAGAAATATAAAAATATGGTTTTTATTACTGCTAAAGTTTATATTTTTATTAAGAAAAAAGTTTAATTGTTGTTTCTTCTTTCTTTCATTCTCTTACTTTGTCCATTTTAAACCTTTCTCTCAGACTTATTTTAATATTTGTTGTACTTTAACTATAATAAATCTGTATATGAATGTACCCTTCTTTTTCTGGTTAATCTTTATGAGGCTTCTTGAATTGGATGATTCTTGTCTTTCAATTCTGAAAAATTCTTCCTCATTGCATGTTTAATTTTATTTCTCTTATTGTCTATATTCTTTTTATAATGAAACTCTCTCAACTGTCTTGGCAATTACCAGCAAGACATCCAAAAGTGTTACCACCTGCTCCTCCAAGTATCCTTGGCTACATGCTTTCAAAAATAATTGAAAGGGTAACAGCAAATCCTAAAAGGAATTGGTTGATTTTTTTAGAAATCTGTTGTTGTTTCCTATGTTGTTTTCCCTTTTTGGTGCAACTTGGCTGTAACAGACGCTCTTTCAATCTAGAGACTTAGAAACTCGCAAAGTTGATATTTAGTCCCTGACTGAAATAAAATGTTGAAACAGGGTACATTTTAAACTCTTTTTTTGTCCCCTGTACCACTCACTGAAGGGAGAATGAAAAAACAGATGACCTTCTTAGTACACTCCATTTCCCCTACATGATGGGCATCTTACTTCCTTTAATCCCTTCTATTTTATTGTCATTTACTCAAGATGACCAAATCAATTTAGATTTTTCTCACCCTTGGGGGATAAACAGTCTCAAGAGCCGATGTGTGATTGATCGATGTATATTTTAAATATTAAAAGTTATTTTGTGTATGGAAAGGAATGCTATATTAGGTATTGACTATTTAATCCCCAAATTATTATGTGTTTATATTATAATTTTTTTTTGTATCAGGCAATGAACCCAGGGGTGCTTAACCACTGAGTCACATCCCCAGCTCTTTTTTTTTTTTTTTTTTTGAGATAGGGACTCACTAAGTTACTTAGGGTTTCACTAAGTTGCTGAGGCTGGCTTTAAACTTTTGATCCTCCTGCTTTCAGCCTCCCTAACCACTGGAATAACAGGTGTGTTCCACTATGCTTGGATTATATCGTGAATTTTTGAGGATAATTTTAAATACTGGAGCATTGCTAATCTTATTTCCTTAAACCATTAAATTATTAATACATTTCTAAAATATAATTTTGTTTGTGCTCTAAATGCACTTGTGGCAGACAAAATAATCATAAATAGAGTGATTATAAACTAGTTGTATTTATCTTTATATCCACTAAAAATAATAATGATGAAGGGTTAAGTCATTTTATCATCATTCTCTACTAGTTTTAATATCAACTAGATGTATATTTTGCTCTCCTTCTCCTCCTCCTCCTCCTCTTCTTCTTCTTCTTCTTCTTCTTCTTCTTCTTCCTCTTCCTCTTCCTCTTCCTCTTCCTCTTCGTCTTCCTCTTCCTCATCTTCTTCTTCTCCTTCTCCTTCTTCTTCCTTCTTTTTTCTTCTGTATTAGGATTGAACTCAGCCTCTCTACCACTGTGATACATCCTCAGCCATTTTTATTTATTTTATTTTGAGACAGGGTCTTGCTAAGTTTTCCAAACTGGCCTTTGTGATCCTCCTGCCTTAGCCTCCCAAGTTTCTTGGATTAAAAGTGTGCACTCCCATTACTGGAGATCATATAAGAATAAGAGGAACTAATCTAACCTAAGTTTTCTATCTGTATACATGAATATATCACAGTGAATCTCACCATCATTTATATCCACAAGACTCTAACCAAAAAGAAAAAAATTAAAGTAAGTGGCAGAAAGAATTAGCAGAATAAAGAGAGGAAAGGGAACTGGGAGAGGAAGGAAGGAAGAGAAAGAAAATACTGCAGATTGCATTTGAACAAATTATATTCCATGGCTTTAAATTTTTTCAAGATGAATCCTATCATTATGTACAATCAAAAAGAAACAATAAAGAAAATGGTCATTTTTTTTTAAAGTGGTTACCAGAGGCTGGGAGACATTGGGGAAGGTTTGCTCATGGGCATTGTTACAATTTGATCAAAATGTAAGTCATATGAGGGAGACTATAAATAAGGATAATGTACTATACATTTCAAAAAAGACAGAAGAACTGATTTTGAATGTTTACTACAAAAATGATAAATGTTTGAAGAGATATTAATGCTTCTTCTGATTTGAACATTATACAACATATACATGATTAGGAAAAATAAATACATGTTGACCAAGTTTTTTAGATGTACATTTCAGTGCTGTTGCAAAGATTAAATGAAATAATGTGTATTAAAATACATTTTAATTCTATATTCATAACAATGATACACATCTTTATATTTATAATATTTATTATATGCTTTAAATAAATTATTATCTTCGTCTAAAAATTAAAAATATGTATATAGTCTTATCCTAATAAATTTTCTGGTTTATCACCACCTTACAGGAAACAAAAAGATAAGAAAAAAATTCTTGAAGTTACAATATAAAATATTAGAACATTTTCTATTAAAAACAACATTGCAGAAACCATAGCTTAGTGTAGTAATTTGAGGTCACCAAAATAAAAATCTTGTTTGTAGACATGTTTTCTTTTTAAAAAGAAAACATGTCTACAAACTTATTTTTTTCCATTCTTTTAAATGGTATATATTAATTATTACAGATTGGTGAGGTTCACTGTGGCATGTTGGTATATGCACATAACATAATTTGATCAAGTTCACTCCCCAGTACTGCCTCTTAACTTTTGATGTCCCTTCTACTTTCATGACTTTCAAGTCCCCACACCTTTCATTTCACCAACTTCCATATATGAGAGAAAATAAATGGTACCCCCACCCACCTTTCTGAATCTGGCTTATTTTGTGTAACATGATGCTCTCTAGTTTCATTCATTTTCCTGAATGACATAATTTAGTCCTTCATTATGTCTGATAAAACATAATGAAGTGTGTATGTGTGTGTGTGTGTGTGTGTGTGTGTCATATTTTATCCATTAATCTGTTGACAGACACCTAGGCTGATCCCATAAATTGACTTTTATGAATATTGCTTCTCTAAGCATGAGTATTCATTTATCTCTAAAGAATGCTGACTGAGTTTTTGATAAATACCAAGTGGTGGTATAGCTGGATAATATTGTAGTTCTATTTTTAATTTTTTGAGGAAACATCATATTGATTTCCATAGTGGCTATACTAATTTATATTTCTGCACAAAGTGTATGAGTTCCTTTTCCTCTGAATCCTCATCATAATTTGCACTTATAGAAATGTATGTGCTACTTCCAGTCATTTTGTGTTAGTTTGCTTTTGAATCAGTCCTAATTTTCATTTGTTTACCTATTATTCTAATGAGATTTATTATTATTTTCTCCTTATTTCTTGGTTATTTTTATCTTCCTCTTCTATGTGTTAGGATTCATTTAAGTATCTTTTGAAATGCTGAATTAGTGGTCACAAATTAGTTTAGTTTATGCTTATCTTGCATAAGCATAGTTTACTGGATATAGTAATTTAGATGGACAGTTATGTTCTTTGGAGGCTTGAAATATATCATTCCATACCCTCTTGTCCTTTAGCTTCTGCTGTGAAATATGCTACTATTCTGATGAACTTGCCTTTATTAGTGACTTGCTACATCTCTTTGCCCCTCTTAAAATTATTTTTTATGATAAGTTTTGGCACTTTAAATATAATATGTCATGGAGAAATTCTTTTCCAGCCTTGTCTAATTTGGGTTCTAAATGACTCTAGTACATAAATTTGTCTATCTCTTTCCCAAGATTTTTGGAAATTTTCTGATATTACTTTATTGAATAAGTTTTCTACATCATTCATCTTTACCTTTTGTCCTTCCTCAGGACTTATGAATATCTTAAGTTTAGCCTTTTGATGATGTCACAGAGCTCTTGTATGTTATATTTATACTTTAGCTTTTTATTATTACTTAATGAATGTTCTTATTTATCCACTCTGTCTTCAAGTTTTGATATTATTTATTCTGTTTGATCTAGTCTATTGGCAAGATTATCCACTAAGAATTTTATTTGATTTAGTTTTTTATTTCTAAGATTTTTTGGTTCCTTTTAAGATTCTATAGCTCTTTATTGAAATGCTCCTTTAAGTCCTATATCTTCTCTCAGATTGATAATTTAATAATCAATTTTTTGAATTATATTTCTGTCATTTCCTCAACTTAGTTATCTTTGGTTCAGGTATTAGAGGATTATGAACTTGTGGAGGCATCTTACATTCCTTTATTTCTGTGTTGCGATTTATAAATCTGCTGGGATAGATATATCTTCCACTGTTATGTGAGAGTGTTTTTAGTGAGTTGCTCTATCTTTACCATGTGCCTTGGGCTGGGGGTAAATCGCAGCATAAAAGCAATACCTATTCACAGTTCTATGATAAATCTGTAGCATTGCTTTGAGAGGAGATAATAATCACAAGTAACCATGGCCACTTGAGAGCAAGACATATACTAATAAACCATAAAAACTTATTGAAAATATTATCTACAGTTCCAACCATTCAAACATGGAAAAGCTATTGGTAATCTTTAACAGATTGTAAAATTGGATATAGAAAGCAAAATTAATATTAAACCTGCTGAATAGATGTTCCTTCAGTACTTTAATTCCAAACTGTGAAGGAGTTGGAATCTGAACCTGCTTTCTACTCTACCATCTTGATTTTCCAGTCTCTATAAACTTCTTATATAAAAACTCTGTAAATAATTACTGAGCATGGAATCTATCTATAGGATATTGAAGTTTATTCCATAAATATAATCCGGAAGCTTTTTGAAATTTGATGGTAGTTCATGAGAAGAGAACTCAGTGTAACGGAGTTTAGAAATCCACATATACAGGGAATTTGGTTTATGACAGAGATGACTTCTGGGATCAGTGGAGAAAGTTGGATAATCAATGGAAACAACTGGGTTTTTCTTTTTAAAATAATGTTGGATTTCTCTCTCAATTTTTATATAATTATTGTTTGTATGGATTAATTTGAAAATATAAAATAAACAAAGAATTATTGTTATAATCTTGGAACATGATCTAGAAAACTATTTCTAAGCAAATACAGCACCTAGATACTATGAAAAACAGAAACTACTGAATTACGCAGCATAAAACTAAGTCAACAAATTGAATTTTAAATTCATTAAGAATATGTGAAAAAGCATAAGAGATCAACTGTTAATTCATATTTATATTTTTAATACAAAGCAGGAAGGCCAACCACAGGCTGAGTAAAAATATTTACAAAATATACCTCTGTATCCAATCTTTTCAAAAAAGTCTGAAAATTCAACAAAAAGAAAACAACCCAATTAAAAAGTAACAAAAGATCTGAACAGGCAGTTCACCAAAGAAGATATAGATGGGGAAAAATCACTGTATGCAAAGAATCTCAAGCATCATATATCATTAGAGAATCTCAAATTGAACAATGTTGAGATACTACCATAGGCCTATTATCAGAAAAGGTGAAATTCAAAACACTGAAAAAATAAATGCTGGCAAGGATATTGAGCAACAAGGCTCTCATTCAGTGCAAAAAAGATAGTCATTTTGGGAGAGTAGTAATTTCTAACAAAGATAAATATAGGATTAACACATGATTTAGCTTCCACAGAAAACCCAAATGAGTTGAAAAGCACATTTATACAAAAACCTGCCAACACAGTTTATAGCATCTTTATTCATACTTGACAAAAATTGAAAACAACCAACTTGTTCTTTAATAGGTGAATGAATAAACCAACTGTGGTACATTCATACAAAGGAATATTATAGAAAGAAAGGGAAGAAAGGAAGGAAGAGAGGCAGGGAGGGAGGGA